AAGATTAAAATAAGTTTGTTAAAGAAATATGTAACTGTTTAATGTATATCAAAAGTTGTTGTTTGAGAAGGAATTGATGCTTTTATTTTGTTTTGTTTCTTCATTATTGCTTGAAATTACCGTTTTTATTCAAGTATAATATGTAAAATTTAATCCATAAAATCATCCATAAAGTTGGGGGGTAGTATTATACTCGGATAAATATTTTTACTTGTGAATTTTAACTGAAATATCAGCAAAATTATTGAGTCTGGAAATGAGACCGTGTCGTATAAAGCAGTTGAAGCAAGCTCACCTCTGACACTCCTCTGTGCTTCAGAGCAAGATAACAGATCCAGGCAGGCGATATGTGAAAAAAGGGGGAAAAAGTATTCCTTCACCTCACTAATGACAACAAACTAATGACATTAGTGTGTGACCGAGCTGCTCCTCAAACAACAACAAACACATGTTCGTCTGTAATGGCTGCCGTCTACCGGTGCTCTGAAAAAGTTTGTATCCCTGAAAAAATGTTTCCCCACCAGAGGGGGCGCTCACGAGTAGGAAGTAATCTGCTTGAAGATGGTCCAAATCTCATGTGAAGTSTCTGACTTTTGTGTTGGCGCCTCCTGGTGGACTATGTGTAAAATGCCAGAATTCATRTGATGCTGCTACAGCTGATATATATTTGTTGTCAAAATACCTTTTAGTACATGTTGTTAAAATAAAATGAACAGTCCAATGATCATTTTACTGATATGTATAAAGGCTGCAAAGGCTGAAAAATCTTGAAGTCTGTATGAAATTGGAGGTAGTTGGAAACATTTTTCTGGAAACATGTCTTGTGTGTCAGTTGTGTTTGTCTCTGTGTTGAACTCTGTTCTTCTGCAGTCCTTTAATGTGACTGTGTGTGTCTGGTTCAGGTCAGGATGCTAACTTAGGCCAGGCCACCCACGTGACCCTGGACCAGTCGGTCCTCTGTGACGACAGCGCTCCTTCTCTTCTTGCCGATGTGCCTCTGGGTGATCTGAAGCCAGGAGAACAGGTGTGCACACGCTCCACACCTGTTTGCCTTCCTCATAGCAGAACCTTAGTGATGCCTGTGTCTGCTTCCAGCTGGAGAAGTGTGTGTACGTGAGGTGTGTGTCTTTTGGACCGAGGCTCTTCTTGTTCCACGTGGCCTACAGCATGGAGACAGCTGTGGAGGGACAGCAGATTATCTGCAGGTGTCACAAGGTACAAACAGAAAACTCTGAGGGTTCGAACTGGAAACCATCATTCAGACCCTTTATTTGTCTTTCAGGATGAGACCCTCACCATAGAGACGGTGGTCCCATTCGAGGTGTCAGTCAAGTTTGTCTCCACTAAGGTGATTGCTCTGTTTTTAATGATTTGTTCCAGGAGGATTAATTAAAGAAGACCAAAGTTTATTTTGTATTTTAACTAATGCTGTCAAATGATTAATATTTTTAATCTGATTAATCCCAAAGTAGCTGTGAATTAATCAGGATTAATCTTAAATTTAATACACATTTCTATTGCAT